CGCCGCCGCAGACCACCGTGTACGTAGACCAGAGGGTCTTTCAGAGTAATTTAGAAGGTGCCATTAAACTATGCAAAAACTGCTTGGGCAGCGCTTCTTGGCTACGGCAGAGGCAGAGGCGGCTGCAATCAGGCTACGCGGATTGGACCGGTCCTATGCGCCCAGAAGAATTTTCTACAGGTTGCGCCCCCCACAGTTGGCATGGGTCAAAGCCACTAAGCCAGCCAACCCCCCACTCACCCACCCGCCCGACCGCCCGCCCGCACGCCCGCACGCATGTAATAACCTTCGCCGCCGCCGCCGTGACCCACCTTCTCGCTGACTCTGACTGCAATTGTGCTCTTTCACCCTCCCCCTCCCCTCACCTCCCCTCCCCTCCCCTCTCCAATCCCCAGGTACAGCTTAATTATCCACCTGCCAGTATCGCATTTTCATTGATTACATCTTCAATAGTAGCCATATAGGCCTACAGAGAATTTATCCAGGGTAGATCTATGCAAGCCAAATTGCCCGTTGAATTGTACATAGGCAATTTTCACAACTGTAAAACAGTCCAAATATGCCGCGGTGTTGTTGAAGGCACTCAATGTGCGTACCTACTGTTCAGCAGCAGCAGCAGCAGCACCAGCAAGCTTGTGCAGGCGAAAGTACAAGTCAGCTTGTTTATTAAGGGATGCCTCCTCCTCCTGGAGGGAATGATGAGTACCCCATCTCCTACTGGAGATGAAGAATGCGACGGAGTGAGTCGTAGGGTTATCACCACCTCCTGTGATAGGCCTGTGAGAAGATAGGCCGAAAATGAAGTAGAGAGCACGCGTGTTGTAAAGCAGGCGGAAGAGCTGGTGCGTCAGGTATGTCTGCGGGCAGCCATGGTGGAAGAAATTGGCGAAGACGAGCGACTGGTTGGGGATAGATAAATGCTGGCAAGCCAACTGTTAAAAAGACGCCGCCGCCGCCGCCGCCTAACTCAAGCTGTATTAGCACGGACCATTAGAGCAGCTGACTTCCAGCATTCCCATTCTACAATCCGGGGAGGGAGGGGGCAAGGAATATATAGTAGCCCAGATCATAAGTATGTGTATTTACTCCTTCACCTGTTCCACCAGTGGACTGGGCAGCTTATATTGGTGGCAGGAGCCGGCCGGCGTTTATCCAAAAGAACATCTCCCAGCCAGCAGGCCAGGTTTGCAAGGGGTCAAATAAAGAAAGTAATGAGCTAGATGCTCGCGCGCTCGCGCGCTCACGTGGTAGACGCCGCCGC